CCCCCCCCCCCCCCCCCACACACACACCGTACAATAGAAGCACGGAGACCGAAATAGCGCAACAGATGCCCCGGCAGCGGCAACGGAGGCGGAAGAGCGTACGGCGGAAAGGGTTAAAGAGGCGGTCTCGCGAGCGCAGAGAGAGACGCGCCGCAAGTACCGCGCCAGGGTTTCCGAAGTGGAGGCGGCGTTTGCACAGCTCGCCGGGGACAACAGGTGACGGAGGGGACCATTTTTTTTCTTCTTTTGTTCACCCCCTTGCGTGATCGTGTTGATTGGTGTTCGTTTTTATTTGGTTCATCAGATCTTATGTCTGCAAGCATTGCTTTCTTTTTCTTGAGTACATCTGGTGTCTGTATGCTGTAGGCCACATAGTATTGTTTTCTTTTTCTTCATTAGATCTCATGTCTCCTTGCTGTTGGATAAATATGTTTTGTCTTCGGTGTACTCGTTCTCTCGGCGGTTTCCCCGCGGTACCGCTGCAGGTTAATTTTTGTTTTTTGGTATGTTCGTTCGTTCACTCCACGTTTTAACCCCCCGCCTTCGGCTAGTCGTTTTTGATCGGTCAATTCAACTTCGTTCATCTTTTGTCGATTCATGCAGGAGGCTTAAGGCGAGATTGGCGCAGCTGACAACGGGCGGCGGCAGCGGAAGCGGCGGCAGCGTCGTGGAGTCACCACTGAGGAGGCGTGATTCCGGGGACGAGTACGGCGGCGAGCGGCGACAAGCGGGCCGGCAACGGTCACGACCAGGGCGAGAAGAGCCATCGAGGACGACGGTATCCCTTCCTGCGTCCTCGTCTGCTGTCTCGTACCCCTGTTCTTCTACGCCTGCGGCTGCTGGCTTAGCGGTTTCGGGAAGTACCGCCGCTGGGCGAGGTAGTGCGGCTCGGCGCGAAGGCCGCCGCGATACGGGGACGACAGCGGGGGGGAGGCAAAGAAGTACGGCGGGCGCAGCGGGGGGGACGTTGAACGGCGGTGGTTTTGGTCTCGCTGTCGGCGACGGTACCGGTGGTGGCGGTCTTGGGGGCGGGGGGAGGCTCCAGCGAAGCGCGTCGGATGACGATGACGATGCAGGGTCGCCGCCCGGAGAGCGTCGACGGCGGCGGCAGCAGTCATCCTCGTCGTACTTGACGGCGGGGGCGGCGGGGGCGGGGCGGGGGGCTTTGGGAGGGCGGAGGAGCGAACAGACGGAGGGGCAGCGCGCCGCCGCCGCGCGCCTGAGGGCTTGGCAGGAGAGGCGGAGGAGGGAGGCTGGGGCGGAGGAAGGGGGAAGAAGAGGCGAGCAGCGGCAGCTTGAACAGGCGCCGCGAAGAGTTCGGAACTACAACGTCCGAGAAGATTAGTACAAGTATGATGCGGGCCGTTTTCGATTCACAGGAGGTGTATAGTTGTCTTTTGCGGCTTGGAAGGTGGTTGGCCGAATATTTACGGGGCGTTTTTGATTCGCAGCAGATGCAATTGTCTCTTGGTGGCTTGGAGGGTCATTGGCTTCACACACACCTCAACCGCCCGACAATTTGCGGTTCGGAGACTAACAAACTGTTGGATTTTCCCCGCGGCATGTAAGCTGCTTTTACGCAGATTCCTCAAGATGCATTCTTTTGCGCTTCCGATGAGTGGAGTTAAGTGTTGGAAACATTTTTGTTAATTTGTGTTCCGAAAATGTAACATTTCGCGTCTGTAATCTGTGGAAAATCACCCGTGTGTCAGCGATGTTTTTTATGGCAATGGTGCCAAGACCAAGGTGTGTGTACTGTACGCATGATCATTTTTTTTTTATTGACTTCGAAGTGTAAAACAGCCAGTGTTAGTCTCGTTTTCTATTGTGTTTTTTTCTTGTTGTTCGTGTCGTGGCTCCAGTATTTGACTCGTGCACGCCGGCAGCTATTCGTTCGCAGAGGCGGAGAGGGTCGAAGAGAAATCGTCGCCGTGTGGCAGTCCAAACCCATAAGGAGGAGTTAACGACTCCCTACTGGTAGAGACTGTAGCCCGATTGTATGCATACTTCCCTTGAGCTGTAGTTCCTAGCGAGAGTTTTGCTGTTGTTTGATTTGAGTACTTGGTTGTTGTTGTTGTTGTCTTCACATAAAACTCGTGTCAGTTGCTAAATAATCCTAAAATCAAGCAAAAGCTCGAGTCCGTGGTCACAAAAATGCTAGAGCCATCAGGAGACCTAAAGAACACACACACTATTAGCAAGAAAAGGGTAGTATTCGTTTTTGTTTTAAGTTTTTGGCACTTGGCATGCGAGGAATGCAATGAGCAACCGATACGGGTAAATCTTGTTGTCATTGTCGTTATCGTGTTGTTTTTTTGTTTGTTTTCGGTGATGTTCCCGCCTTCGGTTGTTTCTGTTTTTGTGGTGGCAAGCCAACAAGTATTTGCGTGCCGGGCGCGTTGAGCGAGAGTCGTGTAGGGTTATCTTCCAGCGCAAGCGGTTTGTGCGGCAAGTCTTGTACTCCTTTCCCTCATTCCCCGTCTTAGTTGCAATTCTCTCTCGGAAGGGGCATGTACCTAGCGTGTGACGTCCTCACACGCCTCTATTGATTTACTTCAGGGAAGAGACACATCGGAAAAAATAATCGCCAGATATGTAGATAGCCGCAGGTGGATGAACGAGAAAACTTATGTTGTGATCGTTCCGTGTCTTGTTGATGAAACGATGAAACTTTATCGCTGGTGTGACGTGTTTTGTCTACACACTGCACCTGCATCCACGCCCCGAACGGTTCTCCTCGCTGTCTCCTCCCGGCGTGAGAAACCGTTGTATCGACGATCGATTTATCGACGACCGATTGATGGCGCGAGAGCCAAAGAACGTTCATGCATGATCGGCAAGCCACAGCAGCACGCGTGATCTCGTTCCACAAGGCACGAGCGTACCACACGAATGGACAGGTCACAGGACAAAGGCAATCGTCTGGCACGTAACACTGGGAAAGAAACGGGTTCGACTCGGCTCAACTGCTGGGGTACGAAAAAAAAGAAATCGGAACGTTTCACAGCTCTTGAGACAGAGAGAGAGAGAGAGTGAGAGAGACCCGTCCAGTGCTTCAAGCGAGCGACACACCGTCATTTCTCTCCCTCAATAGCAGCACTTCGCATGTCCCGGTTCATAAAAAAGACACGCCCCATTGTGATCAGAAGACATACGATTAGCTTAGAGGAACCGCCACCAGCCCGACCCTCGCCCTCCAGCGGTCTACCTTCTACCATCGCGGGCGATAAGGCCGAGGCGCACACGCTGCGAAGATACCCTCCTTCCTCGTACCCCTCCCTCACTGAAGGACTGCCAACAATACTCCAGACATGTATCAGAACGGTCGCACAGGCAGAAGGCCCGGTTATTAAGAATTGCTGGAATAATCCGTGAAATACACAAAATACAGCCTGCGGGGGGGGGCATCGCTGTTACACGGCCTCATTTGACTCTCAACCTGAAGCACCTGTGAAAAAAAAGTATCGTACCAATGCGGACAAGCAATACATGTCGAAATGACAGGCTCTGCCGGCCGAAACATGAAGGGTTTATAACGGTGGTTTCTAGAAAGGGTATAACTTCAGATTATAGCCTGAAAGAACGGGGCGCAAAAAGACAAAACGCGCCGATAAAACTCCAGAAACAACAACAAAAAAAATGCTTGTATAGAAGAAGGGAGAGGCCGTCCCCCGCCTACACTCTTTTGTCCGTTCTGTGCGATCAACTACAAGAAAAGAGGGAGAGTAAAAAGGGCACCCTCCGAGACTAATTTCTCCTGGAACCTCCCCCCCCCCGCTCCTTCTTTCCCTACCCTGCTCTCTACCGGAGCACCCGTTAAATTTACAACAACACACACCGACGAACAACGAAGAGGCCAATAGGGACGCGATCGATCTGCCTGTGCCCCCCCCCGTGCATCAAAACGACACCGGCTCGTGGTCGGTCGCATCCTCTTCCTCTTCCCCGTTTCTCTCCTCGATCAGCGGCGGGGGGGGGCTCCGCGCGTCCCCCCTGGGGGGGTACGCCGGGCGGCGCGCGCGGCGGGGCGGCGGGGCGGGCGCCGAGAGCTGCTGCACCCAGAGCTGTGTGGCCACCGAGTGCGGGTGGTTCTCCCCGAGGTGCCTGACGTATATGTCGTGCGAGCGGGCGAAGAGCGGCAGGGCTTCCTCGGGCTTCCCGGTCGTTGCCAGGAGGCCCGCCACGTTGTTGAGGGAGGACGCCACCTTGATGTCGTCCTGGGAGAGAGAGGG